ATTTGGTCAATAATACTCTATCACCGGAGCGGTGGGATGTCATTACTGTGTCCCTCGTTCTGCATTGCTTTATTTTATTCTTCGTCTATGTATCGATTAACCTTCTGAAAAATACTGATTTAGTTATATTTCAGTCTCAAACTAACTGAAATAAGGGTTGTCACATAGTAGAGGGGTTGCCATTTGAGGACTGCACATATACTTTGGACATTATTGGACTAAATTCCGAAATAGAGCTCACACTGGAGCAACATGTCGAAGAGCGTATCAACCAATTCATCGGTTGCCTCGCTTCAAATTTCCATATCAACCAAGGGTGCATGCACAGTAATTTTCCCTCTACTAGCTGCACACTTGCGGTTAATAACAAAAGCATGCTCTAAAAACTTTGGTTCACTCACGTTTAAGACCTTCGGCAGGAAGTATCCACCATGTGGCCAACAGTACTTTGCTTGGAGCCAACAAAGTTACTATCAAAGTTATTGTACTACATGTTTGCAAGAATCAACGAAAGAGACATTCACTTATGTCGGCTGCTCTTGGTGTGTCTACAATTTTCATTGTGCTTCCGATATCTGAAGACGGTTCTAATATACTAGTTTATGCAACCATATCTTTGGTAAAGATGCTTCTGAAAAAAAACGGGATACTTGAAACCATTTCTGTGTTCTGTCAAAGAGGTTCAACTGAAAATCTCGGTATTAAATCATACAATTCGCATAATTATGACTCATGACTATTCCTAACTAGGCTTGACATAAGGCCACGACACTAATTCCTCAGACATGGTTGCGTGAATTATTGGCATGTTTGGGTCCATCGTGAGCTTATGCACGTCCTGCGACCAAAGCACAATGCTTAACATCACTATACATAGGAATAGCGTCAATTGGTAGCAACCAAATTTGTACTGTCCTCTGTATCATAGTGTCTAGAGGGCAAAAGTTATCCTCACTAGTTGCTCATATGAGTACAAATATAATATCTGGAGTTATCTCCCATTTCAACGAATTGACGGACACCTGACATCTACCCATGATATTCGTATAAGGGACATGCGTACCTGAAACCAGAACTTGTATGAATGCGTTTCACTCCCTTATCCAATCGGATGCCACACTCTGAGACAAAAAGCCACGTTTGAGAGGTTCCTTTTGAGACATACTGTGTCAATAAATGAGCTCCAAATTATCAGATAACACCTCTTTTATGTATAGCGTTCTTTTGCGGTCTCTTCAAAGGATTGAATAAACCATAAAATCATGCCATATGTTTTATTGGGATGACGAGTTTGAAATAAGCTGGTTACTCCCGTCCCAAAGCTTGTTTTTGTGGAAAGCAACCCAAGTGCATCGCTCCATTTGTTTGTATATTTTGAATCCGATTATCGGCTGACGAACGTGCGCATACAATGGAAGCTTGTTTACATTAGTTGTGGATGGTTACAAGACTTGTAGAATCCACATTCACGTCACTCTCGTTCGAAAAAACCTCCACTTATTCTGATGCGATTGTCCTGGTGAGTCCATACCAAAGGGTGAAAGCGGAAGATTCGAGATTTACTGTTATTAGGCCTAGTCATAAATAAATATCCCTTAATGTGTTGGATCATGTGGTATGCGAGGAAACTAAACTACCGCTCTCCCGTGAGCGAGCGCTGGACGAAACTAAATTATAGCTAAACGTATTCACACTTGGAAGATGAGAATGACAACCCGATAGCTGTCTTGGTTCTGTGAACTGATTTACCGGTCTGCTAGAACTTGCCAACAAGTTTCGATTAGTTTCAGGTAGTTGCAGGGATTTTAACATTAACATTCGCATCTGTGGGTCTACGAGCCCGAAAACACCCCACCGGAAAACTCGTGTGTTAGCGGTATTCGCTGCACTTGCAGAAATCTTCGGAATGAATTGCTACAAAACATACTGCTAGTTAGTATTGCTTAAATAGTTATGATTACAGATCACTATGTCTGCGGTGTTTTTCACAAACGGGTTGAATTATTGATGTTGAATAATCGTTGTGTGAGTATGGTTAAAAACATAATGAGACTTTATGGGGCTGTGAAATTTCAAAGCCGAGTCACTCCTGCTATCCAATTCATCGCAAATTTCAAATGGCAATATATGACATGTGCTGGGGCCATATCTCTTTCCTCACCATTATATACCCAAACTAATTTAACCAATGCTTGGCGCCTTTTCTGCCATTCACTTTCTCTTTGGGTTTACTGAAAATCGCAAACAATAACTATTTAGCCTAGAAAAGTAGCTTTTCTCGTTATTGGTCTAAGCGACGATATTAGCCACCTGTAACCGTTAATACACCAGGTCAGTGTGATCGTATTTCTAATGAAAGTGGTCAAATTACTCTTCCTTTGAAGACTCAATGAATAAGAAATACTAAGTGTTCTTTTCCAAATTTTTTAATCCTCCACAAGGTCGAATTACCAGAAGCTGACTCTTTTGCATGCCGCAAGACCATATAATAATTCAGGGGTATACAACAAATAGGGCACTAAGGGCATGCACACAGTCGAATAAAGTCAAACTAATGATGTACTTGGTGAATAAGCGCCTTTTTAACACTCTGCCAGAAGTGGGGTCCTCACGACAGTATCGTTGGAGTAGTATAAGGGTTTTTTTTTCGACTCACAAACCTGACCATTTGTGAGGCTCGCAGTTACACTCTGATAATGCTAGTGAGTACCCTTTGCCAGCTGATGTAGCAGAGCTTACGTCAGACACTTGCGTTTCGTCTGGTTCGGTTGCAGGTCTTAGCTACTCTGTAGTCGTAGCTGCCAGACTGTCTGCCTAAAATGAGGAGAAAAACTGATTTAGCAATGAAAAATGAAGTCCCTTCTTCAAAATGGGAAATCCAAGTGTTCTATCAGTCAAGAAAAACTCTGATGTTTTAGATAATAATAATTTATCGTAAAGGTGGAGAAATCTTGTGTAGAGTCTTGCTACGGTTTGTTTTTCTCCATTATCCAACTAGAGTATGCTTTGATATTAATTTAACTAGCCTACTGGTTTCATTATAAGCCAGAAACCGTGGTAAGTGTTTAAAGTGAATCCTGTTTAGAGAACCGAACGGGGGACCAAACCGGTAATCTGTTAAAACATAGGAGTGTCCACCGTGTTGGGAAAGCAGACAGAGGATATTTTGATATAGAGCTTCCGAAAGTCCTTTCATGTATCCTATTAGAACGGAACTGTACAAAACTTAAGCCGGTAGCATCGGAGACTTAGCAGCTGATATGCGCCTGAATCATACGAAGAATGGTTTGGGAATACGGTTACTTTATCCTAAGGATAAGCCCTCAGAGGTTTCAAGCAACAGATACCACAGTTTTGGTACGTGAATTTATTTTTCTTAACTGTCCACAAAGGAGTTTATTGACGCAAGAATGCTTCATGACATATTAAATTTTCACAGTGAACACAACGAAGCGATGCTACCTCCATTCATTTGATTTTAGAAAATCACACAGGATGCAAAAATTAAAATTTGTGGTCAAAATAATCATAACATCCACATGGACAGCAGAATTGTTCCATAAATAGGGACATTACTTCATCGAAATCCCTAAAGGGTTAGCATCGCCTAACATCGCTGAGTTCGTTTGAAAATCAAAAACGGTTCACAAGGCCGCTGAAAACTCTTTGACGACCCACGATCGGTTTTTCCCTTCTTGGAGCTATCTGACGTATGTCACTAAAATCAGATCCGTAAAGCGCACCACCAAAGAATAGTATTCCCAAGTATTGCTACTTAAGGTCTATTTACCGTAAACGGATGGACAGGACGAAATTCATTTTCGTCCAGAAAACTGATAGTTTCTTTTACCTAATACCGTCTACATAGAGTTATCACAAACTCATCCACGGTTTCATCTTTAAAACGCATCCATTTGACGTAATACACGGCTTATCATTAACCATATTTTCCTACGTATGTGAGGTTGATATATACATGCGTTTGTTAATCGGTGACTCGGCCGAGTATCACCTGAAACTCTCGACTTTAATAAACTTCAAACAAATATACTACATAAAGTCTACCTCGTTTGTCAATTGCAAGGCTATTAAATACGTCAAGTTGCTTTTCCTGACACAAAACATGCTGTAAATTTGGTAAAAATTCTTTGACATCTTCGTTTCATTCTCCTGTGATGTGGTTGAATTACCCAACTGTTACCCATCCGAATCTTCCACTAACATCAATTTGCAAATGAGCATGCGACATTTATATCATTTAAATCAAATTACTGCTAGAAAGCAATAATTTTCGACATACAACATCTGTTTCAGCTGGGATAAAGCATTAAACTAGCCTAAATCATATTTCCAAGGGGAGGCGTTGGTTCCCCAAGTTTGGAAGACGTTCGAACTGTTGGATGCTCTGCCCGTCTGACACACTTCACCTGTCCCTACTACGTAACTCCAACTAGATCATTAAATTAAAAACTTGTCTATCTGATCTGTAAAGGCCGAATTTGAAAATGCCAGTTTCCACCTATTAAAATCGTAGAAAACATAGCATCCTTAAGTTCCGCAACATATTTTCTACTTACTAGCCAGTGTTCTAAAATAGTCTGGTTTGTAATTTGGGTATTATGCAATATTCATACATACAAATATATAATTACTTTCCTCATCAAAATTCAAAATAGGTGTTTTTCTACCTGACGGGAATCACCAAATCCAGACGCAACATTTGGATCCTTAATCATAGCCACTGAAATTAACAACGAAATTGTAAGTAGACTTTTTTACTCTCCCGTTAAATTTCACTGTACATCTGTTCTTGAGTTTGGAATCAAAAATAGGAAGTTCATCGTTGTTCTGCGACAATCTCTCTGGTTTTCGTCGGAGGAAACAAAGTGGCAAAATCTAGCTATACCGTCCTGAAGCTTTTCGCACAATTTTTGTGCTGATCATCTTACTGCTTCACTGAAATGAAATAAAAATATTTCATTCTAATTTTTCCTACTAAGGTACTCGTGAATCTGCTTACGTTTTGGCGGTCACATCTGCCGGTGTTTCACATGCCGTGACGAAAGCATGCAGCAGCGGAGCGCATGACAATTGCGGGTGCGACCGCACCATCTATGATCATCCAAAAGAGCCGAACTTTGAGTGGTCCGGTTGCTCAGATAACATCCATTTTGGGGCCGCATTTTCTCGACAATTCCTGGACGTCCGAGAGCGAGGTCGCCTGAAGAGAAAACCAAAGTTGGGCATGACTAACCTGCATAACAATCACGTTGGAAGGCAGGTGAGCGTTCATTATTAAGCATTTTTTCTGGAATCACAGTGACCTTATTGTTTCAATAATTCAATAATCCGCTGCTATTGAGATTGGATCACTGTCGCTCATATAACTGCTGAACTAAACGGATGTAGTTAATTCAGATGTCTTAGTTGAAAAAATGCACAGCGATAAAATAGTGTAAGGATATCGTTATGTCCATATGTCCAGGATCGACGTCTATGCGTAAGAAGGTATTCGCGAACCACTTTTGGAAATGAAAATTCGTTCCAAATACTCGATATGACAATTGATCATTACGTTCATCAGAGCCTCTGGTGGACATGGTAACATATAAGGCATTTCAGTTTTTACTTCTCAGTGGTTATTTGCTGCAATTATTAAAACTTTTGGCAGCGTTGCAGAAATCTTCATCTCCAATGATATTTGATTTATTTTCGATTTGGAGATTCCGATATGTGGTTATAGGGTGGTCGGTAGTCAGTCCTAATTGAAGTCGTCGAAGAAATGACCTTTGTGGATTACCAGGTCCCCTCCATCTATTTGTTGAAAGCTGCCGGAAATTTATGCAGTATCAAACGGTCTACAAGCTAAGGCTACTAGGCGAACTCAATGTAGTGCAGGTCACGTAGTCAAAAACTCTCATGTGGCTATACTACTGTGTATGAAATATGCTACTCACCGAATTATAAATTTTTTACAGTCGCCTAAAGTACTTGTTGGTTCATCAAAATTTACTGATTTAAGCTCTCATTCAGTAAAATCCTACCTCAGAATGTTAAATAAGCTAAAAGAGCTCATTTTACTTTACCTTGAATGACCACTACGTAAACCTGACCCAGCATCTTTAACGCCTCGAATTGCAGCCGGGTAGGAGTGGCGTCGGTAGCAAGGCTGGCGCAGGTAGCAACCCGTTTTTGGTTCTAGTAGCGAATGAGATGGAATGCCTACATATATAAAAAGCTACCTAACACCATATATATGTCTAGAGCACCGATAGCAAACTACTCCATTCTACGCACGGCCGTGAGTGCGTTCTCTGAGAAGGACCCTCGAAAATATCTATTGTGTAGCAGTCTGGGGTAAGGAACAGCCAGGTTTCACAGGCATGACGTAAAACAGACCAGATTGCCAGCCGGGAGATTTGAACCTTATTCTTTTCCGAGCCCTATTACGTACTTCGGTTGTGGGAACGATCTGCGATCATTGTCCAGGCGGACTGTGACTTCGTCTTTGACAAGGTCTTTCTGAAAAGTGGTTGAGCCTATGCGGCGGAACTCGGAAACGTTTTCTTGAGTCACATCGTTTAGTAGCAGCGGTCTGGTAGAGTTGGGCGCTTGTGGAGAACGGACATTTGCTTTTTAGGCAAGTAACTCAAAATAACTGACTAGATGAACTGGCTTTAGATTTCTTAGACCTGCAGGAAATATAAATACGTTGTCTGCGTATTCAATGTCCGTGATCGATAAATCCTGTTCAAACCCTAACACATGATGTCCGCTGACAGCTGCGCACTTGGACCATATAGCGAAAAGAGGTAAACGCTGTCGAGCCTGAGAGGACAAGCTAATTTTGATTGCTCTTCGACACACATACGGAACTGTGGTCTGGTGGCTACCTAGCAAACCCTCAGCAGTCAGACTAACGTCTTAGAGGTACCGCCAGAACCCGAGATGTTCCACAGTAATTTGATTCACAAAGTCAAACACCATACCAAACTGGATACACCAGTTCATATACGTATTGTTCTGGACCACGGCACGGGGCGAAGTTTTGTTGCGTTCAACCAATTTCAGGGCGACAACCCTTTCTTTTAAGTTTTGCTCGTGAATTTCTCTAGCGAGGCAGTTAGTCTGAAGGATGTTAAACATTTTAATTGTACATAAAATGAGTGTACATCACGATAGTTTTCACAAGAATACTTGCCACTTCTTTTTTACAAATGAATTGAGGTAATCAGATCAGATAGAATTACCTTACCGACCGAGAAATGAAAGAATAGGACAGAGATTGGTCCAAATATGGCCATAGTACATGTCTTGTACATCTCTACAAGATTAACATCTCAATCAAGGATTTGCTTTTTTAACCGGTTGATTATCTTGGCTATTCATTTTTTCATCGGAGGGCAACAGACAACGTTGTACCATGAGGTAAGGGATTCGCTGATGGGTTTCTGGCTGAGGCAAAAAGAATCTTCAAATTTCTACCAGTCGGGAAATTTCCAGCTGGCTCTGCGAATGATTTCATCGGATTCTCTTGATAGGTAGTAATTTTGTGAGTTTTCCTAAAGAGATGAATTGATTTTACACGCTCCCGGAGACTTGACTCAGTTTCCATAGTGACCGCGGTTTCGACCAAATAAGGGTTTCTGTCGCTGCTGGCAGACTTGCTTGCTTTGTGGCGCAATGTGACATAGAATTTGCGAGTTTTGACATTTCACCTCCTTAGCCTGATTTGAAAACTGGATGGTGCGCTCTCGTATTTGTTCCTTCCATCGACATGGCATAGTCTAAAGGTGGCTGATAGCAGTATACCGAATCGCACGCGCTATACATGGTCACGTTGTATTGACAAAATAAAGCGCGGATGACACCAGATTAGGTCTGCACTAAACGGGGCAGCGGAAGATGCAGAAAACAAAAACGTGAAAAACTAAGACGTTGTGAACGAGGTACTCTAATGTTTCTCTTCGACTGGATGTTATGTACAAATGCTGTATAATGTTTCGAACGGAATACTATCCAAAATGCTATAAGTATTTTCTTTCGTAAACAAGTACACAAAATGTTGCTTGAAATAACTACACAAGGGACTGCCAGCTTCATCCCTTTTGTGGCCTCTCGGGATAGCCTAATGCCCAGATTCTGCTAGTGTTACATCGTTCATAAACAGCAACAGAAAGAAAATTAGTGGAGGTCCCTAACATCATCATATTTTTGAATGCAAGTTTATCTATCTTGGTGTTCACGTAAAAGCACGATCAATGGGAATTCGTTGACTGGCGCTAAACAATGAAGCATTCCTCAACCGTAAGGAAATGAACAGATGTCTAGTTTGTCAAGAGTGAACACACAGACATATGAATATGGTGGGCGGATGCGCTGAGTTTACAGCCGGCGTAGGCAGGGTAGTAAAGCTTCGCTTGAATGAATCATCAGGTAATGTCACCGCCAAAATCACCCCACTAACTATAAATTAGGTCTAGATGGCTCACATGGAAAACTTCGTACAAAAGGTGCAGTGACCCTTTCGGTGGAGGTCATCGTTTGATTGAGCAGTCTACATCCGACAACTTTAAATGACCGAAAGCGTGCTCAAAGCTTCTATCCGAAAGGCGTTGTCAGACACTGATGACTGCCAAAATGGATAAAACAGCTTTATGATGCTTTCCGGTTCTGTTTCTGGCTTTCTATTGTGGTATCGAAGAAAAATGTGGTATAGGTAGATGCATAAATAATCCCCCCGCATGTGATTATACGATATTTGAGCGCAGTCGGTTCATACCTAACCCAACATTCGAGCACAACAAATGCGAAACTGCTAGATAAATAGGAGTATCTGTGCGAGTACGAGTCTCTTTTGTAGGTCATGTGGCAGTCTGTGGTGAGTCCACCAGTTGGCAGGTGTTAGATTGTTAGAGGACCAGGCGTACCTGATGAGGCAAAAGGAGGTTGAGGGCTGCAATGTTATGTAAAGTGATGTCACTAACTGTGGGTAATTGTCAAACCAATCCGTCCATAGATAGTCAGGCGCTTGCTTAAATATATGAAGGTATTCTCACCTGATAATGTTAGTGTGTGGTTTAAGAGTTTACATAATCTGGAAAAACGTGTGTGATATCTTAGATTCAAGTGAAATGCCAAGCGAAACGAAAAAGCGAGGCTTCATTAGTTTGTCCTTTCATCAAATTTTCATTATCATAACAGGGCCTGTCAGGTAAAACGCGCCGAACATACTTATAGGCACATCCACCTTACTGTTTAACGATTTTTCAGTTTTTACTGGTCGTGCATAATCCAAATTAAAAGGACAACTAAACAGAACTTCGAGTTGAATTGGTGGAACCAAATACAAATAGACTTTTATAAATCTGAATAAATCCAACTGCGCTTTGTTCCAAAACAGACTAGTTTATTTTTCGACTTGCAAATAAAGCCTTGTCACGGTGTTCCCCAGCTTTCTTTGTCCATCGTGACTCCTAAAATGAGACCAAACGGTGTGACTTCTATGTTAGGGTTGCTTCATCCATATTAGGAATGTCGAATAAACAGGTGCACACTTACTGACAAATGCTTCTATCCCAAAAGGCGGTTGTTCGTTTGCCCATGCCCTCCGTTCCCACAAGGAAATAGTGGCTGTTGTTTGTAGATTCATCACCTGTCGAAGAATGGCACACCATACACTGGTCGTGGGAATTATTTGTTTCGTTCAGACAAAATTGGTAAACATTTTCCAGGCCGCATTTTTCGGTGCATTTTTTCTTGACTGCTAGACTATAATACCGTAGATAATTGTGTTAGCGCACGCGTTTCAATGGCTTAGCTTAAACAGACATAGATGCGGTGCACCAAAATCGAAAGCATATAATACTATCAGTTTAATTCAATGAAATTCCCGGATCCGGTTCAACTTGGAAGCTGAATCCAAGGAAGGCAGAAAATACAATATATATCTAAATAGGTGATCGCAATTCAGCAGAAGCCTTACAAATCCTACGTGGCTATCATTTTTCACCGCTTGAAGAACCAGTTTATTTCGTTCAACACCAGAAACCCCAGTATATCAATTTTCGGGACTAGTATATGAATCATTCCCGTAATGGCCGATCAACGTCGCCGTCGTTTAGCTGTAACATCCTTTTAGTGCCTGGCTGCCATGCCACCCAAAAGAAGCATGAGGGATACCCATGCCTAAACAGAGGATGGATCCGACCCGCAAGTTTGCGCCTTAGCCACTGAACTATCCAGAGCTCGTATTGACTGACGGTTGATTAGAACTACTTC